GATCTTTGTGACCCAAAGGATGTGAAGGGAACTAATGGGAGTCAGGGCCCAGGAAACTTTAGAGACTCTTCTTTCCCTGAGGTGTTCATCATGAGGATGTTCAGGGTACTGAGCATTTATGTGAATACAAAAAGCAACTTGAGAAACTTAGGAGAAAAATCCACTGAGGACTGTTAAAAACAAGATCTCAGCATGTCTTTGAATTGCAGATTGCTGGAAACTGGGGAAGTGTCCAGGGAAAATTAACACTACTTGTCTGTCCTGATCTTATGCCTCTGATACCAGTGCTGTTGGGGACAGAGCAAGTTGATGTGCCCTTGTCCTGACCTGCTGTAACAGTTTCTTGCATCAAGGACTTATCTGTCCCTACTGTTGGGGAGCTTTTTTGTGATGCCTAGCCTAAAAGTCCCTTGCTATGGTTTAGTTCATTACTTCTTGTCTACTTTTGTGGGGGCAACAGTTTAATTTCTTGGGTTTATTTGGATTTGCAAGTGTCTCCTATTGAGAAACTTTGTCATTCCAGTTCCCTTAACTTGGCTGAACAAGGGGTTTAGTTTCCTATTCTTCTAATAAGCAGACTGCAGAGATATAGCATAATTCATAAAGAAAAAAGAGCTAGCTTAGTTACTGTTAGTCACTTCTGTGACTGAATAGCTGTTCTCAACAGAAGGGTCCAGAGTACCATACATTTGCTTGGGTCAGGTACCTTCTCTAAGTCCCTGGGTGGTGTATGTACTGAACCAGAGATGGTAGCACTTTGGTGACAGTCTTTCAGAACGACGTGCTTGGAAGGGAGCAGCTTTTTCTGCAGTTGTTGGCTAAGCTAGAGTTTGAAGACCCTGCTAGTATTTGGTAAGTTGTGCCTCAAAACAACAAGATCTAAATTCTGTTCTAAGCACATCTGACACTTGCCATGTATCTCTATGTTTAGTGCTATATTTTATCTCCATAGTATATGGTATAAGGAAAGCTTAATATGTAGACCTAGAAAATTTACTTTCTCTGTGTGTTTCAGTGGGTGAGGGAGATGTAGTTTTACTGTTGCCTGTCAAGAGTCTTTCTTCTGATTAAATACTTTGTGAAATCAGGTATAAAAAGTAATATAAACCGACTTATGCATATTTGCTGACACCTTGTGATACTTTCTGTTTCTCGAAACATAAACCTGATACTGGGTCACTTAATGAGTTCATGGGCAGATTGAAAGCTGAGATGATGTAAATATTGTTTGAGTAAATCAATTACAACAGACTTTTGTAGAACTACATACTAGAAAGCCAAAATTTACCTGTTGAACAAAAGGTAATTCTTCAGAAACTCAGGATGGGTCTGAATGTTGACATTCTGTGTGATTTCTATGTAATGGTTTTTTCTTGTGCAAGGAAGTGACCAGAGTACAGCTGTTGGTGTTTTCTGTCTCTGCTGGGCTCAGTAGCACTAGCTGTGCCAGTAATCAGGGCAGGGCTAGTCCTGTGTGCTGATCTGGTCCTACAGCTCCAGCTCTCCTGGTGAACTTCTATCCCAAAGATACCTTTTTAGTATAAATTTGTTTGTGCTCTGCACGGTTTTGGAAAAGGAGGTGATTGAAATCTTCCAGCTTAGAGCATGGAGGCAGCATGAAAACAGTGCAAATGCATGTGTGCTACATGGTTTGGTGTCTTCTTCAGTCTCTGTATGTCTTGTAAAATGGACGTTTTCTCTTAAATTCAGACCTCCTGCTTCCCATTCCATTCCCCTTGTCTCCCAGTCCAAACGTACAGGAAGCCCAATTCCTCTGACAGAGATCCACGTTGATTTTATAGCCATAGAACTCCAGTGAAGCAAAAGGAGCAGGATGAGGGAACAGTCAGGTCCTGGTTATTTCTTTCCTGGGAAAAAAACAGACCGGAGAAGCTGAAGGTGCCTGAAAATGCTTTTTTTTTAAGGCAAATTTTACATAAGCTGATTTCTATTCAAAATCTCCCTGGAAAATCAGGAGTTACCAAAACAGTTTTCATGATAGTTTGCTCAGGGAGTAGTTGGGAGGGGAGGGTAGATACCAAGGAATTGGCCAGATTTAAGGGCTTTCTTTTCTCCCATGTCCTGGTGGAAGTCTGTTGTTTCAGGAGTACTGTTAATGACCATAATTATTTTAAGAGTGGTGAGGCTGCTGTCTGCAGCAATGCTGTATGAGGTGTGTGTAGAAGCGAAGGCAAACCTCTGCTCTTCCCTCCAGAAAGCAGAGGAGCTTGCTTGCTTGTCTGACTGGAATGCCAGGAGCATTTAGCTGTGCTTTGCAGTTCTTGCCTGTACCACCCATGAAATAGTACTCTTATCCCAGAAGAGGTACCCAATACAATAGATATTAATTTGCATAAGAGGCTGTTTTCTAATTATGAGCAGTTTGTGTGTCCAGGGACTTTTGATTAGTGACGAATTGAAACTAGGGAAGACTATGAATAGCTTGAGGGAAGGAGGACAAAAATGAGAAAGCTACAATAGAAATTGACAGGAATAAGATGAAAGCAATCTTTCTTAAAGTATTCTGTTTAAAGCATAGCAGAGGGAAAGCAATTTTGGGCTAAGTAATAAGGAATCATATGTTCATTAACAAGAATTAAAAATAATTACATACTTATTAAGACAAGTAAGACAGAAGATGAATTGGATTCTTTCCTGAGGAATGACTAGGAGAGAAGAACAAGGAATATACAGATACCTCTGTTTTCTAAGAAAAACACCAGAGCCTTGCCTCTGGAAAATGTGTATATTTAAAATTTTGATTATTTTTCTTTTAATTCTGTATACGTCAATGTAACCTCACAGAAAAAATGAACCTTATTTAAAAAAAAAAAAAGGGGGCAAACCAGGACTAGCATTGCATATGATACATATAAGCTCTGGAGAAAACAAAGCAACAACAGGCTTTTCAGCACCAAATTCTGCCTGGGAGCTGTCTCTAAATCTTTTCTGGCACAGGTATTGGTTACTCCTCTGAAGTACATACCTTGGGGGGCATGTGTTTGTCTGTGCCAGGTGGTAAAAGCACAGAGGGTCAGTTTCCACCTCATGTGACCTTTCTGTTCAAAGATTACTTTCTGTTTTGAACCCTGTTAAATTTGTAGGACCTATCCTGCAGCACAGGGGTGGGTTTAAGTCAGCACATTGTAGTCTTTATTCCAAATTGAAATTTTCAGTGGGGTTGTTAGATTTTGTATATTGAAGCCTGAGACAGTCATGGACAGGTAAACTGATGATGAAGAGCTTTACAGATGGCTGCAGCAAACTGGCTGCCTTGCAGCAGGCCATCCTGGGTGCCAGTTGTCCAGCATACCAGCTGGGCTCTGTGGAGTGCAAGAAAAGCTGTGTTTCATTTCCTCTGCATGTAGGACTTGACCGTGTAATGCAGAACATCCAAAGCTTCTGGTGCCAGGAGAAGTTTGTGTAAGCTAATTCTTGTTACTAACAGAAGGTGGACGTTTGATCTGCTTTTGGGTTTGTCTTACAACTATATCCATGTAATCTTATTTTGGTGGGACATATGTCTTTATATCATTGTGGTTACAACTGGGTTTGAAGATTATTTTTGTATTAGTTACAGAAAGAGAGCAAGTATTTTATGCTATCCATATTAGCTTAACTCAGAATGGTGAAATTCATCAAAATGGTCTAAAATGTGATCTGGAGAAGACAGTTCTTGTGGCTCAGAGAACATTCAGAGTATCATTCCACGTGCTAACTTTATTCTGTTCCTCATAATAAGAACCCTAACTAGTTCACTTTGTTGTGCATGTTTGAGATTTAATGTTTGGCTAAAAGTACACTGAGACTGCAGCTCCAGGAGCAGAAAAGGCAATTTAATAATTTGCTCAAAGAAATGAAGGTAAAGTGAGGACTACCTCCCTTTTCTTCCTTGCTCCCCATTGTTTGGTTCAGCCACCTTCTCGTGTCAGCTTTGGCTCTTCTGAGAACTGTTGACTGCTTGGACTCACCAGCTCAGCTGAGAACTGCCAACTCACTGGGAGGAAGCAGAAGCTAATGTTCTACCACATTTAAGGAGCTGAGCTGGCCTGCAGAAGGGCCCAAGTGCCAGAGGTGGCACAGGGTGAGCTGAGGAAGTGAAGGGCATTAATGGGGGTGGGCTGTGAGATGGGCTCGCTCTGCCTCCTGAAACAGCACTGTCTGCTCACAGAGCCAAGCCAACCTCAATGCTAATGTTGTAAAGACAAAATAGTGCATAGTATTGATGCTAGGCCAGAACTGGGACATTGCAGCTCTGTCAGTGAAGCTCCTGCTCGTCTGGCAGAGACCTTCATGAAGTTAGTCACCTTAACTACTGATTGTTCTGACAGGAGAAAAACCAAACCTGTATCTTGCAAAGTTCAAAAGAGAACTGCTCATGGAGTTAGGAGGTCTGAGCTGGGACAGTGCTCTGTAGTAGTTGCTGGTGAAAACGACCCTACTAGTTCTCTAATTGTTCTGCCTGAGACTGTAAACAAGCTTCAGAGCCATTCTGGCACTGAGGAGGAGGAAGGAGCACTCCAGAGCCTTGCCAGAGCCTTTAGCAGTGTTTGTGCAGCCACATGCTTCTGAAAGCTGCTGGAGAGCTGCCCTGCAGATTCTTTCCATACTTCATTATGGGATGCCTTTAGATGAAAGCAAAACCTGCTTGTGTGCTGATAGATTTTTATTTTCTTTTAAGACTGCATTTGTTGATTGGTGCTGTGTTTTGCTTTTGCTGGATGTTCCTGACATTGATACTATGTTTCTTTCTTTCAGAAAAATTTTCTAAATTAATTGTAATGTGTGAAAATGTTCATCTTTTAGAATGCTTTTATCTGTTTATGGGTATTAAACAATAGGAAGAAAATGGTTCCATGAGTAATGCTGCCTTTTCTAACTTAGCACAATAATGTGTTGAATCTTGTTACAGGTATGAATGTCTTGTTATACTATTCATTTTATTTAGAGCTTGCTGTGCCAGAAATATAAAGTAAATCTCTCACTTTTTTTTTTGTTAGACATTAAGGCTAATCTATACCACCACAGCAGTGCAGAGGAAAAATGTAGGAGCCTCAGGACCTGAAAAGTACACGGAGGAATTTATTAAAAAACAAATTGAAGAGTTCAACCTGGGAAAGAGACATTTAGCCAACATGATGGGAGAAGATCCAGAAACTTTTACCCAAGATGATATTGATGTAAGTACAGTTGCTCTGTTGGAGAAGTAATTTACTGTAGACTTTCAGGTATTGAAAGCACTTTGCTTCAGCATGAGCCCCTCAGCTCTCTGTGAATTTTAATCAAACTGTCAGAATAAGAAAGAATGCTAGTATACATTGCAAACATTGCAGCTGTGATTGTGAATAGACTTTCCACCCCTGCTACCATGTGAGGTCAGACATCACAATATAGAGCTGTATACCATATCTTGCTAAAGCACAGTAGGTTGTTTTTAAAAGTACTAATGGATAATCCCCTTGATCCAAGGTTGTAAGAGGCACTGTAAAGGTTTATGTAGCAGTTTGAAATGTTTACCCACAATTTGACCTGCTGTGTATATTTAGGTCAGGCTTTCTTGGGTGATACTGTGGTTACTGCTAATGCAAATTAAATTGTAGAGGATGTTTTACAACTGACACTGTGGTTTGTTTAACTTAGGGATTTTCATACAGGTGTGAATCTAAACTCCTATCAGTAGCTCCAAACAGACCATTTTATTGCCATTCCCTCTGAGAGCTGACACAAATGGGTGTCCTCCTCTTCCTCTGTGTCATTTACAGTCATCTGTAGATATGCTCCCTTTCACTCAGAAAAATGTTTTGTTGCATGGATTTATTTTTTTATGTCCCACCTGGTCTTTGCCTCTGTCATTTCTATCTTAGCCCTCAGAGGCAGAGAGGAGAAGTGTGTTTTGGTGACACTGACTCTCAGGTGAGGCTGCGTGAGGTCTCGCGGCCGAAGCTCTGCGGGCAGCAGCGATGTTTCTGTGGCTGTGGCAGCACAGCGGATCAGCAGGGCCCTTGGGGAGCACAAAGTGATGTGGTGTGTGCCAGGAGAGATGTATGCGTGGTTTAGTTTTATCAGGAATCAGAAAATCCCTGAAGGAAGCTTGACTTCAAGTCACAAATCCATAGGATATCCAAATACGAGTCCAAAGCTATGCGGTGATAGCGCAGTTGCTTCCATCCAGAATCGCAGATACCACTTGGCTCTTCTGCAGAGAAGTGCCAATGGAGAGACCCTGGTAGGCTCTTTGTGGAGGAGATGAGGTCCTGTCAACAGTAAAAGTATTCATTGAGGCAGAAATAGCAGCTTGTTCCTTCCCATTTGCTTTCTTATAGTCTGTAGTACAGACTACAGAATTTCCTTTTCCTGTGTTTCTCAGATGTTTTTTCTTACCTTTAATGAACTCCTATCTGTCCGAGTTACTTTCTTGTATTCACACACAGACTTGCCACCAGAATACCTCCCATGTTAGTACAGTAGGAGGGTGATGCTAACAGTTCAGTTTTTCTGGCTGAAAAGTTAACAGTGGGAGCATGCATTAATCTGCAGTGTGGCTTCTGTCCTTGATAGGGTTTAGGGAGAAGTCTCACAGACAGCAAGACTGTGAGAAATGGAAAATGACCGTGTCTGAGTAGTGGTTTCTTCTTCATGAACCCACAGCACGGTGATTGTTTGCACAAAATTAACTGAGCTCCATCATTAATAAAAGCAGGTTCATTCTGGAAGTCAGCTTTTGCAGGTGCAATGAAGGTGGGAAGTATGGGACTGCTTTGAAGACTCCATTTCTGGAAACAGGGAGAAGCAGAGCTGTAAGGGTAGTGTTTTGTTTAGTGACACCAAGTATCTGTGGGATGTCTGATTTCTTCATATTCCATCAGGTGTGGGAAATACTTAGAGTGTGTAATAGTGTCTGCTATGCATAATTAAATTTCTGTTACAAAAATATAAAAGCTGCTTAAGCACTGGCAGGAGAATTAGCAAGCTTTACATTTTGAACAGTAATAATTCTTCCTGATGAGTGCTTATGTACCTCCATGTCTCCTACTGCTAATCGGTCTGTGCGGTGGATTTCAGAAGCAGACATCGTAGGATTCTGTCCTTCACTGGAGTTTTTGGTTTAGTTTAATGAAAGCTAAACCTTGTGAAGTTTTAAACAGGAAAATAAGTTGACTTACTTGCTAATCCTTCTGGATGTTGCGGAAGCAGAATTGCCTCTTACTGATGCTTTTATTTAGGAATGAAAAGTTAAGCTGTGCATTACAACTGTATTTCTGGAGGAGAGAAAAAAAAAATCCAGCAAATTGATATATAACTCTGCAGAAGTCTACCAATTGCTTTTTAATTGGTATTATAGACCTCGCTCTGAAGCTAGGATGTTTTATTCTCCTCTGTGTGAATGTGTGCTATGAAGTTTTTCTAATTGATTTGCTTTGCCCATTCCATTTGATGTATCATTTTTCACAATATTTCATAATTTGTGCTCATTTCTAATGAACAGAGTCGTTAGGACAGGCATGTCTAAGTACAACTGACAGCTAACATTAGGTGCCAGATGCAGTTTATAAAGCTATGTAGAACTGCAGAGAACAGTTTAAATAAATTAGCACCTGTACATTAGTCTCACTTGCTGGTAATTTATAAGCGAATCAGTAGAGATGACATTTAGGTAAGTCATTGATCAAGTTAACAGCTGCATACCCACTGCCCAGCTGGGATACCTAATTAATAGAGATTGCAGTCCTGACCTAGTGCTTTTCCCTGATTGAGTCTGGAATCCTTTTCTTTTGTGATTTCACTTCAAACTTATGGTTGTAGTAAACAGCCCACCTTCATTTTCCACTGTCAGTTCTGTGCTACTCCACTTTAAAGCCCAGAAATCTAAGTAAGATTAATACAAGAAAAACGCCTTAATCTTCATGACCTATTTATATGCCAGTATTTTTATTATTCATTTTTATGCAATCACTAAATGCTCTCCCAGATAGGAGCTCATCATACAGCAATGTTCTTTCTGTAAGAGTTAGTAAAACTCAAAAGCTAGAGACCTGTTTTGATTTGTCTCTTGTCTGCCTGATGACCTAATAGATTGTTGCCAAGCAGATGGAATAATTTGAATCTGAAATCTACATTTATCTTCTCCAGCATATATATTGTTGCAAAAGTACCAGTAGTGCTCTCGACTGTGAAGATGTTAAACGTGGAAAAACCTCATACTTCATAGGGTATAGTTTCTTCCAATGAATTAAGACTTCTTTAATGAAAAATACATTATATTCAGTTGCCTTTGAAAGTGGCTCAGTGTGTCTGATTTCTAGATAACATTTAAATTTTAGCAAGCAGGGTGTGAGAAATAGAGTGAATAATGGGATGTGTGAAACATCAGAAATGTCTTTTGGAGCAAAATGCATTTCTGAACCTTCCATTGTCTGCAAGAAGAGTGTGTTGTCCAGCATTGTCCTTAGGGGAAAAATTGGATTTTGTATCATTTTTTAAGTAGCTGAAGCTGGAATTCTTTTATTGGCTGAAAGAACATCTGAACTTATGATTGCTGTATTTTTTAATTTTTTTTTTTTACTCCATTTAATGCTCTTCAGTGTTTTGCAGAGTTCAAATGAAGATAGAAGTAACTTTCAACAGGTTTTTTGGGTTTTTATTTGCTCTACAAGCACTGGACAAGACATTAATTTCTGTTTTGTAAATGATTAGTATAAAAATAATATCATATTAAAAGTGTGGGCTTTTCTCCTGTAATGCTAATGGCTATTTTTTTTTTCCCCTGAGTGATGAGGTTAAAATTATATCACTGTGAACTTGAAATTTTTCTTTCCAAGCTAGAATTCAGTTTTAGATACAGTTACAAATGATTGAGGTGATTTAAATGAATTTTAATAGTTAGTTGTTAGAAGAGGATTTTGGTTTACAAGGTAAACTTAGGTTAGTCACTGTTGTGGTTTGGTTTTTTTGGTTTTTTTTTTTTGTTGTTGTGTGTTAGTTTTCCGCCACGTTAAATAAAAAAACCTATTTCACAGTTAAGATTTCACATCCTACTTTTGTTTCATTCTTTCCTGATCCTACCCCAAATATTCTGGATTTTGGATGCTGGAAACCTTTAAAGAATAAAGTGTCACTTCTCACCTCAGTGTTTTGATGGTTAAAGCTTTGTATCTATTTAAAAAAGCCTGAGTTTGATTCTTGAGCCCTCTACCTAAAAGGATGTTGCTGCAAGGGGACTCCAGGGTGGAGGGCTTTTAAATTTTTTTTTAAATTACTATTTTTCTTCTTGTTTTTTAAAAAACCTTTCCTCTGTGGATGTTACTTAGATAATTATCTTTGTATGCAATTTGGGCAATAAAAATTAGTGGAATGTTTTGTGTTTCAGTCTTAGATTCAACAAAAGTATGGGAAGACAAGGGCAAGATGAGTTTGCCCTGCCAAACCTCTCCTACTTACAGATGATTTAAGGACTGAACTGTCTCAGTCTCCTTCCTCGATCCTAATATGACTCAGTCAATTCCATTTGAACTGGAAAACCAAACTCTTAATTTCTCAATGTATTAAAAAAAAAAGTAACCCTTACTGACCCAGCTGAACTTGTTTGATTCAGAGTTAGTCAGCAAGCAAAGCATTTGGCTTCTAGATAGATAGGAAAGGAAGGAGGATCAGAAGAAGGGAAAATGAGAGCATGGCAGGTATACTGCATTTGCACAACATGCCCCATGCAGTGCTGGACAGGTTATTTAATGAATTAGTTTGCATGTTGGAAGGACTGCCAGTTGTTGTGGTTTTTTTAATAGGGTGGAAACTTGTTCTCAGTGCTCGATCTGGCCTGAATTCAAACTTGGAGCTGCAAATGTGGTCCTGTGAGCAGTATATTGAATCATCTGGTCCCTCAAGTGATGATGCAACAAGATTCCTTTTGGTTTGCTACAGGAATGTTAAGTTTACCAGTGTAGTTGAAGAAATTCCTAATATAAATAAACTTGTTAGTAACATTATGATCTGCTATTTTTAAAGGTGTGACTACTGGCTATTTTTTTTTCTCCTGTGTGGATCAACATTAGAGTTAAAACCCAATGCTTTAAAATCCTGGAAGGAAATAGCTAAAATTTTTTTGAGTAACTCATAGCAGAAGCAGGCTGTACCCATTCTACCTTTTCCCAGTGGCTTATGTAATTCTTCTTGGAAACACCATTGTGTTACTAGGTACTAGGATTCTTAATCATGCTTCTGCTGAAGATAATGATGGATGTTTCTTTTTTAGACAGTTTTATTTTATTTCCAAAGACAATGGTAACTGTCATTTTACAAACAGAATGGTGAAATAACAGCCCAGAATCTCTGGAGGCTAGAGTGGAGTGAATGAATCTTCTGTAGCTGTGATGATGGCCTGAAGGAAGTAGTTCTTGGTCATATTCAGCACAACATTTCCTTTTTCATCTAGAGTTCAAGTCAAATGAAGCACTAGAAGAGGGGTATGGGCCATGCCTCTTAAGCTAAAGCTAGTCCTGGAATGTAAAACTGCAGTTATAAATCTAAAAGGTTTCTTTAGAACTTTACTGCTAACATTTAAACCTTGATTATAAAGTTTTAAGAGGTTCATTCACCTGCTTTTTGTATGTTAAGGAAAATGCAGAACGTGCAGTTAAATCTTTACAGAGTTTTGACTGGAGACATGGAGATTCCTGAAATGAAACCTGTGTTCCAAATCTGAAGACATCTTCAAAAGTTTTCAGGAAAATATTTCATGGTTATTTTTATGCTCCAGCTACAGTTTGGAGACACTAATTCTGATGTCATTCCTAAGCTTGATCCACCATCTTATTTTATTCCTAGTACATGAGTGTTGAGAATTACAGTTTTTCTGAAATACTCTTTTTTCCACAAAACTGGAGTATTTGCATAGACAAAATCAGCTTCAATAAAGCAAGCTCCTGAGAGGCAGACTGACTTGGTAAGTAGTTGCTAAAGTACAGTCTGAGCACACAGCTATTTAAAATGAAGAAGAAACTTCTGAATCAACCTGAACTGGAGTCTGTTGCATCCCAGGGTAGTTCCTAACAGGATGTAAGGACAGATAGCCTATGCTTGATTACATTTCCACAAAAGGGGAAAGTGCAGGAAGACTTTATCTCATTCCCGTTCCGAACAACAACAAAGTGAACTTGTAAAGTGAGCAGTTATCCTTTGGCTGTGTGTTGTGTAGAGAGCTGAAAGGAGATATTAGGATTTCTTAATGCAGAGTTTGTTTATGCTGTTGTGTGAAAGACATGAGTATACACTCAAGCAATATAAAATAAACTTTCTAGAAGTAGAAGGTCTCAGATGGCAGCCAGTCTTCATTATAAATGTTCAGTTGTTACATTGGGCATTTATTAACGTGTCATAGTTACAGTAACTGTTTTGATTGAGATTCTGGAAATGCTTGTATAAAGACTGTCTTAAGTACACACACAGTCAGTCTCAGTATCCTGTAATAAATTCTTTTAATATATTATATAATGTGTTTGTTTAACATCATTTGGCTCACAGCAGATTTCTATTGTCATCATAATTAATCCCCATTTGTTCATAAATAGGTGTTCACCTACTGTGTGTATGCATAAAATGCCCATTGACTAACAAATGGGAATACAGTAGTCACTAAGAGAAACAAAATTACCATTTCATAAAATCAAGTTAAGCCTTTTGTTTGCTTCAGAATTCTCAAAATTTCTGTTCAGAATGCCAGTAGGGGATTAATGAAAGTAATAGGTTAGGTCTTTTTACACTCCATGCATATTAAATCGGTTGAAGCACTAACAAGCCACTCCATGTCCATGGAAAAAAATTCTCAGCAAGTAATAGCCCTAAGGTAGCCTACCCAACAAAGGCTCATTCTTCTTAAGAGAAGATTTTTAAACTCTGATTTTATTGTAATTCTACTTTGCTCTACTGTCTAGTGGAAATATAAACGAGACCACTGCCAGAAGGATTTGTTCAGTTAGTCTCTGTTACTATACAAGCACAACATTTCTATCTTAAGCTCTCCTACCAGCTCTCTGAAGCTGGCCATGCTTGCCAGACCTCTACATCTAGGGGGGGTTTGATGGCTAGGTTTTTCTGTTTTATTTTTAAGAACAAATGGAAATCAACAGCTCCCATAAATGCATATTTTTTTAGATTGTTTTAGTTACATTGAAGAGGGAGAGTAAGATGAAGTTGAACAGCAATGCATGTCACTGGGCTTAAATTAACCTTGTAAGGGGCTTTGTCTTGCACTTTCCTAGAATGATTTGGAGTATTGGTATACCTCCTTTTATTTGTTGGAGATAAAAAATAATACTGACTTCATACATTACATAAATAGTGACAGATATTGCTCAAGTAAAAGCAAATGATGTAACTTGTACTTAGTGAAAAGAGTGGTGAACAATAAGTGTGTAATGTATTTTTCTGATTTGTCTTTGCAAACCCTTAGGTATTGAAGGAGAAGAAAGATGGCATTTGAGAATCTTTCTTCTCTGAGCAATTAGTTCAAGTTCAGTAAAGACTGTAGTGATTCACAGTTGTTTCCAAATGCAGTGATCAATAAAATGCTTATTTTATGCTATGTAAAATCTCTTCTACTGCCACAACAAACGTTGCTTTTAGGCTTGAGGAAACTACATCTGTAAAAACTAGGATTCTAAATGTGTAAAACTTTGCTTTCCCCAGTTGCTTTAAATAACATTTCCATGCTTGGTCTGTCAGTACACTAGACTCTGGAAGTCACAGGACTTGAAATTTTAGGGGAAAATTACTGTGTGTAAGGGTGGTCTTTGGACTTGAGTAGTTCTGGTAAGTTATGGTAGATGTGTACAGTAAAAACTAAACTTAGCAGAAAAAAGCTCACTCATTCTGAGAGAGTACAGCCTTCAGAATGAGGTTTTGCTTTACCTGAGGCTTCCTGAGGAAATGATCTGCTTTTCAGCACAGCACATGGCACTCTTTCTTATGGATTTGGTTTCCTACTGTACAAATATTAGGCTATTTTTCTGTACAAGAAGGTATCTCTGAAAAGTTTTGATGATGCTTTGGTGAAAAAAAATGACATATATAATCTCTCTTTTTGTTTTCAGAGAGCTATTGCCTATCTCTTTCCTTCTGGCTTATTTGACAAACATGCCAGGCCCATAATGAAGGTAGGATTTTTTTCTTGCATTTCTGAATAACTGTAGCATGATATTTTAAGTAACTTTTTCCTTTTGCTGATATTTGTTTGTTTGTTTATTTACAGCATCCTAGAGAAATTTTTCCAGAGCAGAGGAGTAAGTGTTCATACTTTTCAAAAAGAAAATATTTCCAAGTATTAGAAGTTTTGGATATGTAGAATGCTTCATTTTCACAGTTTTACTTCCCCTCCCCCTTGTTCCTAGTAAGTGCTAAGACAGCAGTAAAAGCCTAAAAAAGCAGTAAAAGTAAATTCAAGTTTTCAGGATAAAAAGTACTGCTGGATTCTGGAATACCAGTGGTCTTTTCAGGCATCATGTTCACTGATTATAGATAAATGTTTTTCATTGTTTAAAAATAAACAATAGGTAGGATGACGTGCAGAATCTGTTGAAGTCATGGGAAAACCTTTTGTTGAATTCAGTAGCTTTTTGTCAGAGCTGTCTATCACAGCCATAAAATATTCATTAATACTATTTTAAACTTAAAAGTTTTCTTGGTAACTTCATTGCTCTAAAAGCTGAAAAATTACAGCTTTGAAATTGCCAGTTGAGAGAATAAGGAGAGTGGAAACTCTCAGGAGTCAGGACCTGAAAGTCCTAACTCTGCACTTTTTGGTCTTGCTCCTGAGACACTGTATGAAATCCCAGTTGTCAGTGATATGCCAGTATGTTGGTCAGTTGGTCTGTGAGAACTTCACTGAAAAAGCCAAAATAATTTTACATACTGTATTTAAAAGGTATGTCAAAACTTGTTGTTCTCTATTGACTCACATTATGAACTAGCAGCATGGGTGTGAAACTGTAAATTCTCTAAGCTGTCAAGTCCCAGGTGAATGCTTCTGATTATCAGTGAAATCTTCCTATTTTCCATCCTTCGTCTTTCCTTTTTCTGTTCCTGACATTAATTGATGCATGATGTTTTTGGGGCTTTCTGTGTCTTTTAGAAGGCTGTCTAAACTATCTGAAATTTTGGAATTTCAGCTTTCAAGTAATGTCATGTGTTATTTTTTTAAGTTCACAGAATTGTGAAGTAAAAAATAGAAAGTGAAAGGGTGGGAGAGAGTTAATCATTATGCAATTTCAAAATTCAAGCCGTGTTTTGTGGCAGAACTAAGCTACTCTTGTATATGCCTTTAAGGCTAAAGAATTCTTTGAAAAGCTTGTTGTGTCCTGAGGAGTGTAAGAACTAATCAGGATAAATGCCTATCTTTGTATCTATATCTGGAAACAACACTTTCAATGAGTATATCTTTTAAGGCATTTTTGTCTTCTCTGGGCATTATGTCTTCAATAACTTTCAAGTATAAAAACTATAAATTTATACTTTTCAACATAATTGCAACAAAATACACCTTCACAGCTGTGTAGATGGAAATTCACACATTCTGGTAGTAGTATGTGGGTAAAAGCCCCTATGTTACTTCTGTTATACCAAGTTTTGCATCTTTACATTCAACTTCTGCTGTATTATGTCTTCATGTTCCAATGCATTACACATCCTACTTATCAGACAGGTTCTTGGGAGTCTTATCTTTGTCTGTAGCTTATAGATAACTTCATTGGAACTTTGCTGGATGAAATGGCTGGGAATCTCTTTACAGTTCAATATGTAAAAAGCTTTCAGTTTAGGGTGTTGGGGTTTTTTTTGTGTGTTTTTATTAGTCATAAAAAGAAAATGAGAAAATCTTTGTCATGTTATATTTAAGTTTGTTTTTTTCCAAAATTGAAATATAATTATCCTTAAATAATGTGGGTTTTTTTAAATTAATGGAGTAAAGTAGATGTGCTGAATTATGTTGAAGTGTGTTTTCTTACTGAACTAATTTATATAAACTATAGCATAGGTCTTTGTATTTAAATATCCCAGATGTGTCAATGTGAACAAATCCTAAAGTCACTCAAGTTCTGAATACTGTTGCGTTGCCCACAAAAGACAATTGTATGAATACTTAGTTTAGTTTAGATGTAATAAAAAATTTGCTCTGGGTTAGTTTCCCAAAGCTTTTCATAAATCTTTCATTTTTCACAATCATTATGTAGATTTCAATTCTCTTAATATGTGTTTCTTCCTATCATAAAACTGATATTTCTATCTGTAATACCAACTACTGAGTCTTTGAAAGTTTATTTAAGATGTACATGAGGGATTCCTTTGTGTTAAACAATATTTAGAAATATTATATTAAATGATTTGTTACAATTGGAGATGGAGATTGTTTTTTTAACATTGTAATCTAAATCATTGGATCTCCAGACAGGTTGAGCACCTGTAAAATGTCTTTGTTCTCTGCTATTTAAGAAGGTAATCAGTATTATGAAATAAATTTATAACTGCAGTTAAATGCAAGGGTTTTCTTTTAGTGAGTGTATATTGCTTTCATGTCTAATCTTGCTTTTCATTAGAAATCCAGTGGGGAGAAGATGGCCGACCATTTCACTTTCTCTTTTATACTGGCAAGCAGTCATATTATTCATTAATGCATGTAAGTATGTTATAATCTATATTAAATAACATTAGCTACCACTCGAATACATGTTATTCTAGAGGTGTGTATCAGAAGCTTCTCGGTTTACTCATGTCTTCACAGTAGGCCATAATATCACCACAGAAGCTAAATGCAGTGCATGTTTTCGTGTCACAATATCCATTACTAGGGACACTTTTCTGTCACATTTAAGAGAATAGACTATATAATAGTTCTTGCTTTAATTTTTGGGTTTATTTTACAATTCTAACTATGAATTGGGTGTGAATAGTCCAAACACTTTCCTGTAGGCCGTGTCTGGTTAGTAGCATAAGGTTAGTAGTGGAGAATACATAATACAAAAAAAGGCTAGTTCTCAGAAAATTCATTATAGAATAAAAAATAGAGGGTTTTTTTCCCCTCTTGAAGGGCAAAGTTATAGGAAATGTTATTTATGCTGACATTTAGTGTGTAGAAAATTTGCATTTAAACTGCTTAATTGATTTTTCTAAGACTGTTCCATTCATGCAAACTTAAGGCTTTTTCTGATTAGGATGGTTCCAGTAGTAAAGGATCTGCATCTGTTTACCTTTATGAAAAAAGCTGTATCTAATAGAGTATCTCTAGGCCGTGAGTCTTAACATGGATTATGAAGAGGTGTTTCATATCTGTGACTATCAGTGGCACAAGCATGATCTGCTTCTTTAGAGGAGTTTGTAGAAAGATGTGTGTGTTTCTTTTGTGTACTTACAGAAGACAAAAAGCATTAATAATGTATGCAGCAATATTTAATTGGACAGTCATGTCAGATTTAGTTTCCTGCTTAGTCTTAAAGTTCGTTTTATGGTTAGTCTGTTGTCAAGAAAAAAAAAAATTATCAAATTTCAGTGCACAGCTTTACTGAATGTAGTGTTTTTATTGGAATTATCTGATATTTATTTGCGTTCTGCGTACCCAAAGGACAAAAATCCCCACTTGTCAGGTACATTTATTTCTTTGGGAGAAAAAAAAAAACACCTCCCTGTTCCTTTTTTTTTTTTTCTGTTGTTGACCTTGGGCAAATGAGCTTCTTGCCCTGGCAGAAATGAAATGAATGATAAATGCAGAGTGTGTCTTTGCTGAGTAATGGAGCTGCAGCACAGGCTTTCCACAGAGGTTTTCTCCTGCGCAGCCCGAGGCAGGCCGAGGACCCCTGCTGTTCATTTAAATAGGTATGTCAAATCTGCCTCGAAACGCCGCTGGTTTGATCTGTGGTAATATTTGTGAAGGTTCCATATGGACTCGAGCCCCCTGCAGTGCTAAGAAATAATGTACAACGCTTCATGGTGCAGAGGCAAATTTTCCCTGAAAAGGGCTGGGGAGCTGCGCTTTAGCTGTCGGAGGGGATGATGGAGCTGACGCGCTAGGCCTGTCAACTTGTTACACGGATGGGTTGCACGCAGCGAGGCTGTGGAAAATCTGTGCCTTTTAACTTTTCTACTTAATCACGGTTGTAGCATTGCCTTTAGACTGTATGCTACATTAATTCTCTTCCTGCCTTCTGCCTTTCATCCCAAGTTTCACGGAAAAAAGTAAAGCATGCAGGTCTTGTAGAGGAGCCTTATCAAACAGCTGTCATCTGACAAGCCATTTGCATTTGTTTTGGCTGAAACGGAGCAACCCAAGGGCAAGATGTTTTGTTGCATTCCATCATAATGAAGAAATTACAAATTTTACAAGTTTATTTTTAGCTCTTCCTAGTGGTTAGAAAGAGTATGCAAGCTTGACTTGGAAATCACTAAAAGGATAGTGAGCGTCTTGTTTCTAACAGTGTGACAACCACCTTCAAACAAATGGGTCTGACAGATGCATTTTTCATTAGTGTAGGATACTTGTCTGTTCTTGGACTGTGTCTGAATATTTTCGTTAGGCTTCTGTAAACCTGAATCCTATAAGTGAGGTTTATCAGGGTTCTTTTAGTCAACCAAATGAAAGCTGAAATCTGCATGAAATTCCAATGTTGTTTTAACCTCTTATTAGACTGATGTGTATTTAGGGAAAATGATTTTTTTTAAAGTTTCAAAGCTAATTAATTTCATTAGGAAAAAAAGAGTTGTATGTTAATGCAGCCTGGTGTAAGTAATCCATCCCATTTGAGGATGTCCTTTAAATTGGTACATTAAGTCTTAATAAATTGGATAAACATAGTGTTTTGCTTAAACTTGTATGCCATTAATTACTGCATAGACTCATGTTGAACTTGAATTTTCTTAATGGCTAGTAATATAACTGTTACAGCATTATTTTAGTTAATGCTAAAAAAATACTGTCCACTTACTAAAAATTGTGTATATTCGTATTATAACCACAAATAGATAAGTTGCTATGATGTGAATACTAAATGAACTTTCATAAAGGATACTTTCTTTATACTCCATTGTTGCCTTTGTTCTGCCTGTTGAATAAAGTTTAGCTACAGAGAAAAGGGCAATTTATTTTTCTTCTGTTACACAAAAGAAACTTTATTACATGAAATACCACTTCACAAGTGTTTGATAGTATATTTGATCATCATTTAACTTAAAATTTTTTAGAGGAACACATGGTTTTTAATGTGCAGAATGAGAGGATATGGTTTCTTCATACCATTCTGTCTAGGAAAATAGTAATTTTATGTAATTGATGTAATTGTGCTTCTTGTACTTTTTTTTTTCTTTTAGAAATATCAGTAGATCAGAGGTAAATGCTTTAACAATAGAGCATTTTGAGTTCTAAAAAAACAAACCCCAAAAAACCCCAAGGTATATACTGAAGTCAAAACTGTCATAAAAAAGAAAAATGAAATCTGTGATATAAAATGTGGGCTCTGCAACATATTTTAACAAAAATGTTGAAATTTTTTTTTCTCCATAAAAATTTCTCCTCTTAGGCTTCCATTTGCAAATTTCTTAAAGTTTTTTATGTAGGGTAAAATAATAATGTGGTGGGTTTTGTTTTGTTTGTTGGTTTTTTTTTTAATTTTAAGGGAGCATCCTTGTGGAGATGGGAAATTTGATCTCTCTATTAGAAATGGAAGCGTTCCAGTATGTAGCCAATCTTGTAAAATCAGCTATTTTGATTGTGTAATAGCTGAGTTTACAAGACACACAGATGTGTACATTCATGAATTGGACTATTGAATCCTGAAGTGATTAGTAAAATCTTCACCTGCCAGCTTTGAAAAAGCAAGTGTGCCTTCAGAAGCTTTCTTCAGCCGTTGGGGAGTGAAGATTTGTCAGATAAATTATTGGGCATTTCACGTGATTCCTGGTTTTGCAAAGGCTCATCCACGTACTTTACTTCACATACGAGTGGCTCTTTCAGTCTGTTGACTTCATCTCTATACAGAGATTAAATACATGCATAGATTTTTTTTTTTTGTAATACTTCAGACCAAAATTTTATTTCTTAAGAGATACAAGTCCGCTTTCATTGCCAGAAATATGCAAGAAATTATATTTACCATTTCTCTTCTGGTTTGGAAGTATTTTCAAATCCTACTTTTTAATGTTTCTTGACTTTATCTCCTGTGTGAAGATTTCTTTGTATGAATGGACATGATTACTGTAATTTAACCAGAGCGGTTTAAAGAGACCATTTTAATTCTTAGAAGTGCACATTCTTAGAACTTAAACAGGCTGTTGAGTGTTGGTGTTCTTTAAGTATACTTAGGGAGAAAAATCTTACTGTTCTAGCTGTTGTAAAGCTTGCTTGGTTGTTGTAAGAATGAATTTCTGAGGCTAAAAACTAATGGGTGGCAACCCATGTCTCATTTATTTGCCTCTGTTTATCAGTGGCTTCTGAATATGATGAACAAAATCTTTGAGTCTTCCTTTAAACTGAGGTGTCTTGTTACCTTTAAATCCTTGAATTGCTCTTTGGAAACAATTTGGATTTTAGTCAGTCTGTCCTAAGGTAGCAACTGTGAGTTCCTCCCCTTGTCCTTTTTGAAAGAAGTGTGATACAGTTGTGTTTTTCTTGAGCTCCTGGTTCATGAGTGTTTTTTTACTGATCATCCCAATACATAAATGTGTATGTCAGTGCCATGAAGATGATGGGTGTTTCTGAGGGGGCAGACTGGAGGCTGCTTTTGCTGGGTGGGAAGGTGACACTCTGCCTTATGAAGGCAATAGGTAAGCTGAAAGCCTAGCACTGAAGTGAAAAACCTCCTTACACATTTGTAAAACCTAGACACCCAGTATGTCTTCTGATTGTATAACACCAACTGAGGGGGCAGACTGGAGGCTGCTTTTGCTGGGTGGGAAGGTGACACTCTGCCTTATGAAGGCAAGAGGTAAGCTGAGAGCCTAGCACTGAAGCGAAAAACCGCCTTACACATTTGAAGACCTAGACACCCAGTATGTCTTCTGATCATCTAACACCAAAATATCTTCTTCATGCCTGGTTTGACTCCTTCCAAACCCAGAAGGTCATGGAGCTCACAGGAGTCTCCAAGCCTGTTCCAACTGAGCAACCCCCATATAGCTGAGGGGCAGGCACAGCCCCCCCTTCCCCTTCTCTTGCCTCCTTTCACAGACCAGAGCAGAAGCTCCCATACTGATTCTTTTTCATGTCTGACTACAGATGCCTAAAATTTGTTTGGTGTCAGGCACACCCATGCCCTCTAACCCAAACCATGCTTGTGCTTTTAATGTGTAGTCAGTAATTCTTGCAGCCCAATAGCTTTGAATGGAGCCATTGAGATTATTAGGGTGATATGAATCTTGCTCAAAGTAGTATCTTGTTTTCTGGGGGATCTACAGATGCATTTGTGAGGTTTGGAAATATTTGAAAATATGATCTGTTGTGCTTTTTTTATATGATGTTCCCTGTATTTGCAGATAAGTAGACTTTTTTTTTTAATTTGGAAAGTTTTCATAGTTCCTACAATATACAGTTATCTGTATAAAAAATGAAGGATTTCTGAGAGGCATACTACTATAATATGTGAGTAATACTGTAATATATGAGTCCTTATGCTGTCTCAAAGAAAAGTGGACAATTTTCCACTTCATGATTTTATACTGTGGATTTATTCCCCAAATACTTCTGTTCCACTCTGGTGTTAAAAATGTCACCAGTGACCTGCCTCAAGACTTCAGTGAATTGTCCCCATTTAAATGCTTTTGAGTCCAGCTCAAATAACAATCTGTTCTTAGCTCATACACTCATGTATTTTTATATTAGTGGATAAATCAGCTTGAACAATAGGTTTTGATAACTAAGCAAGTTTTTGTTTTGTTTTGGCTTTTTTTTTTAAATGTAAACTGTTGGAGGTATTTCACTGCATCCTGTTGTAAATCTGAGTATTATGTTAAGAACTAATACTTCATTGGTTAATTTCTAACAGTACAGACCTGTCTCATTTCTTCTTTTACTTATTTTCCTAAGTTATGGGAGAAAAAAAGAAAAAACAAGCAACTACTGTCCTTTGTCCCCACTAATTTACACTAGTTTCTCCCTAGTATTGGCTAAAACTCATTAATAAAGTGTATTAAAGTGATTATAAGCTTTCTATTTCCACTGTTAATTCAAGTAAATTATTTGGCATATAATCCTTTGTAGTACAACAATCCTGGTTGTTTCAATATAGCATGTAATTATTTCTCCAAATACTCCTATTTAACTTGTGTTTTGAATCACTTTTGTAATTCAGAATATCAGATGTTTTATTTGGGAACCAAGTAGTCTCTCATAGTTTCTGAAATGAAAAAAATCCTGAAAATACTTCACTAAGAACATGTTTCATCTGTAATATTTTCAGTGTGACATTTTTGGAATATTTTTTCCTTTTATTTTTCTGAAGTGATAAATTACTGTCACAGCATTGTTTGGAAATATAGCATAGCTAAGAATTTCAAGAGAAATGTTTTAAAGAATACTGGAAATTCAGAGTAAATATGTCTGTAATGTTTGAAAGAACAAATTCTGATTATGGTAAACTTACAACTTTGTGTGTCCCTGTAGACATGCTTTGGTAAGAGGAAGTTCTGACTGATAAAGACCACTAATAAAGTTGACGCTCGAAATGTACAAAAATCTAACTAATGAAATTTTTTACAATCTTGAACTAAAATGTGGATGAAATGATGAAATTATTGAGCAGTATGTTTTGGAGATACTTTCTTACAGATGCTTGTAAAAAAAAATCTCAACTATATATAGGAAGGCAACCATATTTATATAATGGATGTATCAAACACTCTTGAAGAAAAATAGCAGAATTCAACATAGTAACTTTGAACTGTATATAAAAAAATTATTATATACACCATAAATGTTGGGTTAGATTTAATTTCCTATATTTTTAGTTGTCAGAACTCTGCTTGTTTTCTGATGTCTGCATTTGAAGTGTTTGGAGAGTAAAAGCACATGAACATGTTTTAAATAATATTTATGTATTACATGGAAAAATGCATTTAATTACTTTTATTTGTGTACATTGTAGGAAACGTATGAAAAATTGCTGAATGCTCAGAAATATCAAGACCAACTGGCTACTGAAGACCTCCCTTCTCCAAAGGAAAAAAAGTAAGCTTCTGGTTGAATACAGTGATACTAGTTTTCTTAAAATGCTTTAGTCTGTTGTTTTGGCAGTTCTTGTAGTTCCACACCCTACCTGCTTTTTATTCCACAAAGACATTTTCAGACTTTTTCCCTATTCCTTGTCTAGTATTTGTATAGTAATTTCAGGTTGAAAAGTCTCATTGGTAGTATGTACGTGTGGAGTGCTCACTTCTCACTGCTAAAATGAGGGAAACCCTGGTATTTCTATTGCTTTTTAATCTCTCCCTGTGCTTTTCAATATTTTCTCCCATGTATACGTTCTGAAGTGTGATTTGAACATAAGTAGAGGGTATGCAGAAACATAAGAATCCTGGATGTGAAGTTTTCTATTATATGTTTATTAAAGGTTTTTGAAGGAGGAGATAAACTCTTTATAAGAAAACAAGGCCTTTTAAAATTCAAAAAAAGTTGGTTATCTGTTGGAAAAATCCTAAGGCTTAAAGCTTTGCTCTTTAGTAGTCTTTCATTAATTACAGTTCCTGAATGTTTTTACTTACCAATAATGAACATGAAGAGTATCAAAATACATATTTCACTGGTTTCCTTCTAATGGCTTTGAACAGCTAGGTCCTCAAAAACTATAGTCATTTTAGAAAAGTTTATTTGGTTGGATTTGTTTAAATATCACCATTATTAGTAATTTAATTTAGTTTCTCTTCCCTTTTCCTCTTTAATGCCTCTGGTATGCACTGCAGGCTCTTCAGCTAGCTAGCCACTGGGCAAACAGATAGGGGTCAACCAGAAGCTGTGGGAGATGCTACAGTTGTTAGTTTCTTAGTGCATACAGTCAGGATTGTCTTTGAAATGAGTATCTGCTTCATGAACTGTTTGCTTCTCTTAGACTGTATCCTTGATTTTCTATTTTGAGATTCGTTTGCAAGACTTTATGATGTACTAGGATATTAAATGAAGCAAGGCTTTAAAAGAAATGGATATCCCTAAGAGGTTTTGATTTTGGCATTTACTGCTCTTCTGTATAGTTATTTTCACTGTCCTAGTTTTATCTTTATTCTTGCTGTATATTTTCTAGCCAGATTTATGTGCTGTTCCAGTTGCACATCATGTTGGTTTGTCATTTCTTAATTTCAGCCATTTGTTATTTATGTAATGGTAAGAGAAAGAATTAATTTGCTGAGATTATTTCAGTTTCTTAAATAACAGGAGTTTGTGTTTCTTCATGATATAAATAGTGTCCTATGACCCACAGAATCTTTTATCATAGATTCATGTTAGCTTCTGAGCAGACAAGAGAAGAAATTAATTTATGTTTTTTTGGTGTATGCTGCTGAAAAATAACCTAACTCCTTACAGAGCCCAGCCAGTGGATTTACTGAAGTGAAAAACGATCTAAAGCTACCAGAGTTGAAAGGTTTTTTGCCTGTTAGGTTTGTAAAAGCTCAGAGAATTGAAAGGATTTTTGAGACTTATTTTCCACACTGGGTATAGTACTTCCTCTGAGATTACCCTGGATAATTTATCTCTGAAGTGTAGGCAGAGGGTGGTGGGTGGGAAGGGTTGGGTTTTTTGTTTGTGGGTTTGTTTTTTGTGGTTGGGTTTTTTCCCCCCCAGGAAATAATGTATTGTGGATGCATTCTGTAATATTAACTGTAGGGTTAGGATGTGATCTTGAACTGCTTTAAGTTTATAGGTTTTCATGTGTAAAAACATTTAACTGATTTGATTGAAAGTAGCAATATGTAAGTGTAAGTGTATACTTGAGCCTGTCAGGTTTGGAAGCTTTTTAAAATTACTGCTAAAACCAGCATTGTTTCAAAATAAACATTTCTCATGCCTTGACTCAGAAAAGCATTAAAATCCATACTTAAGAAGAAGTACTACTTAAAATCACCTTCAGAAGGAGTGCTTTTCTGAATCACAGCTTCTTTAATGCTGCTGAAAACATTAATTAAGATTGTTTCTAAAAAAAAAAAAAACATAAAAGGTAAAAAACTAGTTACAGCTTTACCTTAAATTTGCCTGATAACATTGACATGTATATTTATGGTGGCACTGTTTAGTCAATCACTTTGTATCATATGTATTTCACTAAGATTTATTTCAAGCATTGGATTTTCTTTGTTAGTATCTCTGTATTATGAGGCTGTTTTCTTAGAAAATTCTGCTTTGCTCTTACCAGTGCAGTTCCTGTGCTGAGAAGGTCAAGGTTACACAGCAGATAGAATATAGTGTGTCACTGCTGCATTAGTACTTGGGCTGTGCTTACTGCTTCTGGAGATTTTTATATTGATCAGAAAAGGAATGAGCAGAGGCAAAATTGTTACTTTTGAGTTTGATTTTAATGTTCTGCCTTTTTGTTCTTTGGTGCTTTTAAACCAATTTTTTTCATAGCAGCAGGCTTTTAGAAGTAAGTCCTAAGTTGTGGGGAAGATGGCTTACTGTTAGAGTATTGCTATAGCTCAATCTCAGGCTTCAATAATATGAATAATGCATAACTGATACTTGTAATTGTCACATCATTAATTCAATACATGAAGTTACCATTCCTTTCAAAAGGCAGATCCTTTAAAATCAATGTAGGCCTTCTCATGTTTACTATAGGAATGTGATCTGTATCCATTTGTAATGGAAAATGTATTTCTGAATGAAGACTGACTGTATGTGTGGTCCTTTGTGATGTAACTCTAACTGCATGGTTAATTAAAAGGAGACTATATGTGATATTTTAAACAGAAACCTGGCTGGCAGCAGATGGCTGACTAAGATTGAATTGGAAGAAATGTTGTTAGAAAAAGTGTCAGATGATGATGTAAGTAATTAATCTTTTGAATCTTAAAAAGGCTTGTCTTAAAAATACAGACTCTGGGTGCTTTTTTGGATACTGAAAACATACTACATAGAAACAGGTGCTCTTCAAAAGAATTTTCCTCATTCTCAAAGTTTGTATATGCTCACAGCACTGTCACATTCATGTTGTCTTGAAAAGTGGCCTGTGCTGCTAGTTTTTATCTAGCACAGTACAGAACTGTTACAGGTTTTCCATTGTTACTAACATACTTTACTTTTTCTCCTGGTAGCATTGAGAGGCTTAGAGCATTTATTCCTTGTAGTCAGGAATGGAGCAATTAACATTTTGTAATAGAAATAAATAGTCATTTATTCTTGTTACAGATGAAAAAGGGACAGGGCTAGACCTCTGTTGCTTATTGTAGAGAAGGGGTGAAGGTTCAGGATGGGAAACATGATGGGTTTGTGTCATGGTAAATCTGCATAGGATTTCTATTTCTTAATCTTAAGAGGGACATGATAATGATAGCAAAATCACAGAGAAGGCTGATAAAAGAGTCCTTTTCTTAGTGATTTAGCTACAGAATCAAATACCAGAAACAAGTTACAAAGCTACACAGATCTCTGGCCTGATACAGATGCATCAGTTGTTGGATTCTCCCTGGTATGAATGTGGTGGGAGAGAGCAGAGTTTTGCAGTTTCCTCTGTATCTTGGAGCCGTATCACTGGCTAGATACGGAGTCTTTCTTTACATGTATATCTGGGAATAAGACTGTCCTGATAGTTGCACACTTTTCTCCCTTGGAGCTTTTTGCTGCAGTCCCCTAAATAGCATTAGATGTTGTAACAGCAGGCTCAGTCTGTGTGGACAGCTTTAGTTTTCTTGCAGAAGCCTGAACTCAAATAGGATAGTACCAGAGAATTGAACAGTTTCAGCATCCCAAGTATTTTCTCACCTAGAAAAAATGTTCTTCAATCTCTTCTGTCCTGTGGACAGCATCATTTGCAAAAATAGTCTAGCAGCAGCAGACATGCCCTTTGCTCAGTTCTGTTGTCCAGAGCAGTAATGTGGTGGCTTCCTGGTCTACAGGCAATGTGAAAAGGTCTCGAGCAGACTGTGGTTGTACGCATAAGTTAGAAATCACTGCTGTAAATTCTCTACCTTGATATACCCAGGAGTTTTCATCTATCTTACTCACAGCAGAAGCAGAAGCAGTTCAGTGTTTTCAGTAGCTCCTGCATTTGGAATGGCTGGTTTCCCTTTCAGAGTGCCAGCAATGGGTCTAGTTGTACAACCCAACAGCTTGCTGCCGTTCAGTGCTTGTTTTTGTACACTTTGTATCTGTAAAAGTAGACTGCAGTGAAGTAAAAAAAAAACTCCAAAAAAACCCCAACCAACCCCTTTTACAAACTGGCCTCTGGCACATAAAACCACAAAGCCTCAGCCTGTAGGAGCAAATGTTGTATTTGAACTGTCTTGGTGTGAGCTGCCAGTCTTACCTACCCAAATCCTTGGGTTTGCCATTGCGACAAAATTTACTGCAGTGTTTGCATTATTAAACAAAATCAGAGCTATTGGTGGTTTTTTTCCCCCTTTGCATTGTGCAAAACTGTTGGCAGCTTTCTCCTATAGCCTCTATCATTTTAACATTTTTGTGTATCTGCTTTTCAGAGGCTTTAGCACACATCTTGGGTGGTACTGTATCATTAGAAGTAGCTCTATAGTGATGTCAGAGTTCTAGGGGCTATTGCTAAGTTACAAGAAAGGTATTTATTTTGTGCAGAAGGCTCTGCTAACAGAGAAATAAAAATGATTTTTAATAACACCTTGAGTGTTAAGAAAACTTCAAAAATAAGGTTATGATATCTCTATGAAAAGTCCATTTTAGGTGATAGCTGTCTAGGGCTCCTGCCAGTGACACTTCGTAACAGGACATCCCAGCTTTTCACACAAATGGGTTAACACAGTGGTGTTTACTCTTTAATCACATGTTGAAGAACTTTGGAGGGGGGCGTAAGGGGGAAGGAGAACCACACAGTAGCAAAGGATAATTTATTTCGAGAGGTTGCCCTTTAAGTCAAGTATCTCTTGAATTTTTAAATAGCTTGATTGTTCGGTTTTAAAGGAAATCATAAACATTAAAGTAACTCAGCTTGAACAGCCAAAGATAGATAGATAGGTATTTCCTGTATATATTATGAAATATAATCATTTAAGAGGTTCAGTTTAGTGAAATAAAATTATTTCCAAGTCAATGAACATGCTGACTTACTGAAAATGAGGTGAAAATCGTTTCCTTTTGCCATTTTAATAAAACAATAATGAAAGAATGAAGGCCTCTCTCAATGTTTTCTTTTGAAAAGGGAGATGAACTTCATTCTAATACAATAACCCTGTATTACAAAAGAGTTGGTTATGCTTTGAATTAGTTTCATTGTTGCCTGAAGAAAGAACTAGGTATCTTTAGTCACACAGAAAATGATGCATCTGCATGCCGCTCTTAAATCAGCATGTAGGTGCAAAAGTGTCATCTAGTCAGAAATCATCAATAAAAGTGAAGTAGGAAAGATCAATTATATAAAAATAGAAAGTTTTAGCAAATGCAGTTACACTTGCATCCTTTAATGGAGTCTTGTTGTCCACAGTATTCCAGGTTTATTCAGCTGTTACAGAAGCTGGCGGCGTTGCCGTGTGGGGACGCGGAGGAGCAGCACGTGCAGAGGTTTACCCGAGAAGTTCCTGCACAATTACAGAAGGTGGTTATCGAGCCCTTGAAGTATGATGAGCGAGGAGTGGCCTTCAGCACTGGTGAAGGTAATGGCTTCAAGTTGCTTGGTAATGAGGCAGTTTTCCCTCTCAATGCTGCTTTCTTTACAGTGTGTACAACGCTGCTGAATGTGTCGCTTCACCACTTCATTGAGAATTCCCTGGATGTAACAGTGCTGTTGCTTAGTATCAAAGTTGACATGTTTAGACCACCAAGTCACCTTTGTCATGACTTTGCCAGGCAGTCCAGCAAAGGAGAGTTTCAGAGATGCAAAGAATAAATAGCAAGGCATCTGGATATTTACAGGCAGCAGGAAAATGCAAAGAAGGAATGCCTAAGTTTTTTAAACAAGTGGATGAACCACAGCGAGCTTCATGGCACAGAGACAGGAATCAGTCATTGCTACTGAGACTGAGGGGATGTTAGAGAAAGGCCATGGAGGTCTCTGCATCTTCTAAACACAGGCTGCTTACGTTTGCAGTGGAGGGATACACGGTGGAAGAATGATATGATATATATGAGTGATTACCTAAAAAAATAACGTAATAGCAACATGGATAGGAAAGTCTGACTTCTGGACAAAGCAGATGCACACGCACACACGCCATATGTGCTGTACATTGAAGTGGGATCTTAGTCAGAGATGTGTATCCTTAAGCAGCAAGCAGAGGATGATGATAAGAACAAAGGTCACAAAGAATTTGAGGGGGAAATGGCTAGAGAACTGTTCTAGCTGGGTTGGCTTCCATAAGATGTGACAACAAGGAGGTGTGAGAGCTCCAAACTGGAATTCAAGCCACAATGGTTTTCAATAGTGTCTTCAACACAGTAGGTACTGATATTTATAAGCATGCAGCTTATGTTATTTAAGAGCAGCCAGCACATTTTGTAAGATCAAGGATAATCTTGTTTCTGTCCCACTACCCTCCTAAATCAAGAAAAATTGATGAATTTGTTTCATAATTCCTTTATCAGAATGGTTGCTTCCTTTGTGTTAGAGAAGATTGGTCTCAGGGTTCAGCACAGGGAGTTCATGGTTTACCTTGAAGCTAATGCACTTGGAGAGAACTAACTGTCAGTAGTGATTTTTGAGGAAACTATACTAAGTGATGCACAGGCATTGCTTATTGAAGTATTGACCTTTTCCATTGGAATATTCTTATACTTCTGTACCTTGGTATGATTTATAAAGTATTTTAATGATACTAGAAATTGTATTTATGGTAAATGTAGGCATTCAACAAACTGGTTGATTTTTGTGTATTGTGGCGTCACCAGGTCAAGCAGGTGTCCTGTTCTACTGAAATTACAGGAGGTAAAGTGTTACTTTGACCTTCTCCCAACACATTATTTACCCCCACACATACTTAATCAACACTGATTACAATATATTGAAAGGTGTTCATTGTATTTATTTCCCTCTCTTTTTTTTTCCTCTCTTCTTTTTCTTCTGCTCCAAAAAGAAACAGCTGGTACTGTATGAAGTGGTGAGATTTGCTTCATTTCTTGGGCACTTGAAGTTCTGTAGAGTGGTGAAGCCTCATAACAGATTGGTTTTAATTTCTTTAAGGCAAAAGAAAAACTGCAAGAGCTACTGCAGTGGTTTATGACAATGGGACTGGAAAAATCACAGTGAATGGAATAGACAGTCTACATTACTTCCCAGTGCTGCAGGACAGGTGAGAGCACTAGGAAATGCTGTATTCTTACTGCACTTAAATTATCCCTCCAAAAATTATGCCGTGCGATTATATTTTGCTGCTGCCTTCCACAGAGTGGATGCTGTGTTCTTGTGTCTGTATAACTCTCTGCTTTATGAAAATGGGTCTTGCTTTTCCTCCTAATTTGCAGGAGTCAGTAGTGTAAGAACTGATGGGTAAGCCTTGCTCTGTGTTTCTTGTCTCTGTCTAAAGGGATGCAAAAACCAGAAATGCAGGCTATTTGCTTAGTTCAAATTCTTTAGAAAGGGCTAGCAGTTTATTTTGAAAATAAAGAAATAATAAATAATGTCTTTAAGTGTCTCCTGAGAGATGTGCACATTATATGCATGTGTAATTATGCTGGCATACAGAAACTTAGTCAAAGCAAAAGAGGTGAGACACTTATATGTAAAGCTTCAGATTTTGGAGGATGTCCACAGTCAGAGATAGAGGAGGCTTCCCATAGGACTGACATAAGGATTTTCCTATCCTTTATGTGATTTTTATTTTGTGCTTTCTGAGCTCAAGAATAGAGTGAGAGATTGCTGCATTTTAATATCCAGAGCTGACAGTGCTTGGCAGCTATAGATGATTAGTGAAACAAAAGTAATTGTAAAACTGAACTTGAAATACTTACTGTTGGCAGTCTGCATATGCTCCTAGCTGCTGATTTCCCATTTGTTCAGCTGATATCAGTAGGAAATTAGAGATATAAATCCATTTCTGGATCTCTGCCTGAAAGTTAACTGTAGTTTTGTATGTACTATGATATTAAGTATGTGTACATGTTTGATTTTTTATTATTATGATTTTTTATTTTTAGAGAACAGTTGTTGTTCCCTTTCCAGTTTCTTGACAGAATTGGAAAACATGATATGGTTTGCACAGTCTCTGGTGGAGGGAGATCTGCACAGGCTGGAGCAATACGTTTAGCCTCTGCAAGAGCCTTAAGGAGTTTTGTCACAGAAAAGGAAGTGGAATCCATGAGGCAAGGTAGGAATTTAAATTGTTTTAAGGTTTCTTCAAGTGTTTCTGGCAATCAATGGAATTAATACAAGTATAATTAAGGATCAGGTAGTGCAAATCTGAGTAAATAAACCCAGTGAAACCTTGTATACTGTATAAAAGGGATCAGAATTTATTCATAAGTAGTTTTCACTGGTTTTCTAACATACTTTGTGTACCTTTTGGACGACTTGAGCATTTTTTCCGTTTGTTCATGACCTCTCATAGGTCTGTGAACCAGCTTGTATTGCCTTGGCACAGAATCACAAAGCATGAGTGTATATTCACTAACAAATCTAGGACAGGCATTAGTGAGCTGTAAGGCACTAAGGTTGGGTGTTGTTTTGCTTGGCTAGTCACGTTTTGTTTACATTTAAAAACATTTTACTCTAGAACTTAGACACTAGAGGGTTAGCTTTGAAGGGACAGTCGTGAGCATAAACACTACACACAACGAGCCAGGCTGAAGGAACTTCAGTCCTCTCTTGCTTTATTTAGTTTGCAAGTTTGGTAGGATAAGGTAAAACTTAATTGTATAACTGCAGTATTTGGTGCTTCTCAGTGATTAGATGCCCTGCTGTTTCAGCAAATACAGAATTAAGAACAGTGAGCTTTTCACTGTGTTCTTTGTGGACTAGTAGGGAGAATGTCTACCTGTATTACTGGCACAGCAGCTTTGATTCTTGCTCTCTTGCCATCTGTGGAAGTAAAACTGTCTTCTTGCCTAGTATCTGCACCAAATTTCCTTTGATTATAGTTTCTCAGTACTGACAATTACAGCTTGCTAGGAATACCCCTGTAAACTGACATTTCACTAGTGTATAGAATGTATAAATGAATAAACACACATGTATTGGGGAGTGCATGATAAAAAATATTTTTACTGCTAGTGCAAAATCAAAAAAAAATTGAACACCATTGCCCCAGAAGCTTAAGCAATAGAAACCAGTGTGAGATTTTTTTTAGTGGCTTGTAAAGTAAAATGTGAAGCAAGTTCTAAATGTGAAACAAGCTACTAAAGAAAGGTTAAAATGTTAGAGGATCTGATTAAATTCCTTTCAGTGTATTTTACACTGAACCCTTATCCTTCTAGACGTTACAATTCATATATGAACTTATTGGCTGTCCTGAATCCCAGACATGTAGTATATCTGTAATGTTAACTAATAACAGTAAAAAAAGGGTGCTTATCTGTGTTTTGCAGCTGGGCTACTCACATATGACCCACGTGTGAGGGAACGAAAAAAGCCTGGTCAAGAGGGAGCCAGAAGGAAATTCACCTGGAAAAAGCGCTAAGTCCGAGTACTTCAGAACAACAGAATACTCCCAGAATTTCAGAGCATACTGAATTATGTTTTAAAGCTATTGTATAAATATGTTTAGTAATAAAGACCTTCTTTTTTTTCCCATTGTAACTACTTTGTTTTCGCTGTTTAAAAAGCAAGGAACAACTTTCTTTACACTTATTTAAAATTCTGGAAAATTCTGGTGTGATTTGCCCAAACGCTAAATCTGAAATAGTTTGAGTGGCAGCTTTGCATCTTAGCTCCACTGAAGTCTGTAATGATTTAGGGAACTGTTGGTGGAGTATAACTTTTAAAAATTAGTCTATTTGTTTAAAGACTTGACTAAATTCTGGAATTAGGCAGCTCTTAACCAGGTATTTGGACAACTTTGACGTGCCTCCCTTTTTGCCTCACAGATAATAGAGGGTAAGTGACAGCTTCCCACCTAAGCTATGGTGGAATTGAGAAACGAGTGAGAATGGTGCTGACAATTGAGGGGATGTTGAGAGAGGAGCTCACAGAGGATAACCTTTGCCTGTGGAATCAGTTGTCTCCAGGATGCCTGCCTAGGTTAAGAAGGGAGTGATTCAGAGCAAGCACCTAAATTTAGGTGCTCTGAATCACCCTCTGGAGGAGTTTTTCTCTTCTTCTTCCAAATGCAGAAAGAGCTGGAGGGATTAAGCTGAAGTTAATCTTTTAGAATACTCTTCTCCACCCCTTAAATCTCAAGGGGCCTGATGAAGGAGGCATGTGCCGAATATGGCTAATGCATAAAGATAGCATTGGACTCTTTGCCAAATACAGTCATAACTTTTCTTTTTTAAAATCAGAAGCAGGAGGTGATGACAGTGCTGCCCACCTCCTGTCTATAATTATAGCCTTCCAAAATAGATTAGTAGTTACAGCACTCACCCAAAAGCGCAAGGTTCTGGTTTACTGCCAGCTTCCTTCCTGGGACAGAGGTCAAACACAGCTTCCAAGGAGGAGCATATCTTTCATCTTTCCTGCAGGAACTGGGCTACAGCAGAGAAGAGTGTAAGGTTTATCTCACCAGGAGAAAGCAGAAAAAAAATTCAATTAAGTATTTTAAACAACAGGACACCTTCCAACTTTTAATTTAGACTTTGGTACTTGGAATTCTTCCTGCCCAGCTAAATTTTCAAAGTGCTAGAGAAACTGCCCTGCTTCTTTGCCTTGGGTGATACCAAAAATATTACACCTTGCAGATACCAAAAGATACTAACAGGTTACCCCAGAGGGAAAGTATGGTGATTTGTATGGGTCATCATTCATGAGGGGGAACAAATAAACAGACCTCTTGAACTGAGTAGAACAGAGAAGGTGAGAAACAGGGTACACATCCTGGACAGATGTGTTTCTGATTCCTGACTCCCCAAAGCAATTCTCACCGAGTGGTGATACTTAGCAAAGTTGTACAAGATTTCGATACCAAAAATATTACACCTTGCAGATACCAAAAGATACTAACAGGTTACCCCAGAGGGAAAGTATGGTGATTTGTATGGGTCATCATTCATGAGGGGGAACAAATAAATAGACCTCCTGAACTGAGTAGAACAGAGGAGGTGAGAAACTGGGTACACATCCTGGACAGATGTGTTTCTGATTCCTGACTCCCCAAAGCAATTCTGTGCTTCTTTTTACCTCTCACTGAGTGGTGATACTTAGCAAAGTTGTGCAAGATTTCTCATTGCTAGGGTAGGAAATCTCAATCAAAATACATGACTCTACAACTGCCTGGGAGGTGGTTGTAGCAAGGTGGGGGTCGGTCTCTTTTTCCAAGTAACAAGTGGTAGGATGGAAGGAAATGGCCTCAAGTTGAACCAGGGGAGGTTTAGACTGGAAAAATTTCTTCACTGAAAGGGCTGTTAAGCACTGGAATGGGCTGCCCAGGGAAGTGGTTGAGTCACCATCCCTGGAGGTATTGGACAGACAGGTAGATGGAGCACCCTGGTGGACTGGGCAGTGCTGGGTTAATGGTTGGACTCTGCTCTTAAAGGTCTTTTCCAGCCTAAAGGATTCTTTTACTTCTTCAGTTGAATTCAACAGCTTTTTGAAAACCAAATGGGGGTTACATGAGACATGTTTTGCACTAAGGCAAATGGCTTAATTAACATTTCTAATTTAACTGAATTGTGAGGGCAGCAAAATGACTCGATATCATGTTTCTTTAAAAGCTGTGATGTGTAATAAAAGCATTCAGTAAATACCCATGCTAGGACAGGTGCCTAAGGATTCTTTAGACATGCTTACATACCAAAATGTACATCAGCACAAGGACTTAGTGAAGGTGCTAGCTGAAGAAGATACAGAAGATTAAACAGTTTTTATCTTAAGACAAACAAAAATTGATCAGTTTGACCATATTAATTTTCTTACCTTATTATTTATGCAATAAAACTATGAGTGCAACAATGTGCCACTAGTTGCAGCATACAAAGTCTTTATTGTTTTAAAGGGTTTTGTAGTGTTTTCCAAAAAAAATTCATGGGCACAGCTTCTGGTGTTTTGACCCAGCAAAAAAATTGGGATAGGGTAAAGTTAGAATTGATCAAAACCTTTTAGGGAAGTCCCTAGAAATTTTAGCTGATGCTGCAAGCAAGGTCACTTGCTTTGTAGCTACTTGCTCAGGCTTCAAATAATTCTGAAATGGAGCCAAAAGAAAGAAGCATTTTGAAAAGAAAATAACAGAATTGTACATATTTTTTGCCTTTTTCGCTTGTATGAAGTTTCTCTCATCTGTAAGGAATTAGGAGATGAAATAATTTTGCTAAGAAGGACTATTTCTGTAGCATTAAAGCTGATCGTAAAGGTAAAACTACCATAGTTTTCACTCTTTTTTACAGATCCATCAGTATCTTCTGGGAGAACCAAATATGGAAATTTCAAGGGGGTTGTTAGTTTTGGTTTGTGACAGCAGCACAGCAGTAGAATCAGTTTGTGAGTTAGAATAACCTGTTTTAACCTCCAGTTCTCATTCTTGGGGTTATTTGAAAGAAGCAGTCCTGAACAGCTACCTACTAACTCTCTCTGAGCCAGGCTTCCCAGGTCTCAGTTCTGAGCCACTTGCAGTGTGGACCAACTTACCTTGCCACTAAGATTTCAGAAAAGTGTCCTGAATGTGGCAGGTGCTCATTTCTTTAAACATTAAGGTATTTTCTTAATGTGGGCAAAAAGAAAGAAGCCTTCTGTGCTTTCTGGTCAATGTATCTAGTGATTAATCCAGGCTATTTTTTTTTCTCTACCATACTAACGTTTAGCTTTGAGTTAAGATACCAGAATTGCAAATGGAATATATCTGTGCCATCGATTTATGGTCATCGTCACGTTTCAGTCCCTCAGAAGGTGCAGCTGGAAGGATGTTTTGTATTAATGCTGCTCTGTTGCCACAAGATGGAGCAATTTGCAATCTAATGAAGTGAGCTATTTTCAGAAGTGAGATGTAAATACCTGGGAAAGAAATGATGATGAATCTTCATTATCAATAGCGATTTTATAACAGCAGATTAATAGTAAAATATTTGGTTTCAAAAGGGAAGATTCAGATTGTCTCGCCAGGAATTTTTTTCTCTGGACAAGAAATAAATTTTGGTGAGAAATAATAAATGTCAGTTAATGCTGGTTTTCAGCAATCTCATTTCAATGAATAAGTAATACCCTCAAATTAATATTACAGTGTTATGCTAAGGAGAGCCAGCTGATGTGTGAAGCCTGGAAGTGGTGCAGAAACATTGTACCAGTCATCACATAGTTAAAATCACAGAATGGTTTGGGTTGGAAGGGACTGTAAAGATCACCTCCTTCCAAACCCTCAGCCACGGGCAGGGACACCTCCCACTACCCCAAGTGGCTCAAAGCCTCATCCAACCTGGCCTTGAACACTTCCAGGGAGGGGACATCTACAAACAGCTTCTCTGGGCAACCTGTGCCAGTGCCTCATCACACTCATGGTGCAGAACTTCTGCCTAGTGTCCCACCTAAACCTGCCCTTAGCAATCTCATACTAATCATACACAAAGCTAATAAATATTTGGATGAAAAGCCAGAAATTTGGTTTGGCAAAGAGGGGACGAGGGAGGGATTTGTTATTGAAATATAAAAAAGTATTGTTCTTTTATCTGTACAGTTTCATAAAATCCTTCTGCACATGGAAATTAATTTTCACGTTATTCTGTGATATTTTATGTAGATAAGAATTTATGGGCTGGAATTGGAAGCAAATGTGTGGTTTTGTGCTCTGCTTGCATCCAGTGGGTATCAATTATAGTAGCTTACTAAATGTCCTGTGAAATGGGGACACAAATCACTGCCTGTGGACCTGCCCACGTAAGCAAAGCAGTGTGAGAGGAGAACAAAGCACACAAACAAATGGCCAGTAATAGCTTTAGACCTCCCCTTGCTTAGCACCCACTCCACTATGTCAGCAATCACATTCACTGTTAGTGTTCAGGATTAAATAACTGCACGTTGAAGTCTTTCTGGTGGACAGTTGCAGACCCACCTGCCATTTCTCTCCTGGTTCCCCATCACACCAGCAGTAATGGGTACTTGTCTTGCTCATTTTGAAGGAAAAAATCTTGAGTGCTCCACAGAGGTCTGTATTTAAACATGCTAAATCTTCAAGGCATTCAAGATGTGTGATTTGTTCATCACTTCAATAAATACCATATTTGCATACTGCCAATGCTGACACAAATAATGTGAACAGAGTGGTGTGTGCTTGCTGCAGGTCCTGAGCAGAGGAGACGCCATGGAAGCAGTTTCAGACGGACAGGTGATTAGCAGGAGGGGTGAAGATACACAAGCATTTCCTTCTGCAAGTGCTGGTTTGCCCCTGAAACCAACAAGAGCAGATTCCCCTCTGTTCCAACACTGGTTCCAACCTCTATTCCAACCTGGGACGTTCCTGCTTGCCTGGTTACACATTCATTTAGTAAATGCTGTTTATCAGAAGACGTGATGGTGCCAAGATGAAATTGAGGTACAAGA